CATTATAACTAATATCATATTGATAACTTATAATATACTTAGTGTAGGAACTTACACATGTAYCTRYTTTTTACTGTRTAGGAACTTACACATGTACCTGCTTTTTACTGTGTAGGAACTTACGCATGTACCTTATTTTATCGTGTAGGAACTTACATTCGCCCGTTTAAAATGATCGCGCTAGGGGCGCAATTTTTATTTTATATAAATACTAAAAATTCATTATTAATTTATAACATTGGTTGCCAAGGACGCACATAAAGCTAATTACGGCACTGTTGATTTATAATTTTTGTTTCAATAATTCATACCAAATAACAGTAGCTAATAACATATTAATATATTATAGTATCAAATCATCAATATTAGTATATCAATAATTAGGTACCTAATATAATATTATCATGGTTATTAGTTACAATATGTACCAGTATAGACCACACAAAATTCGATGAAATAATATTTAAATAATTTAAAGTTTTTAAACTATATTTTGAACAATACCTAGTAATTAGAATACTTTGTATGTAATATGTGTAGTGTAGTGTACATAATATTGTAGTTGTGATAATTTAAAGAGTATTCAAAGAGTAGTTGTACCTACAGTCATTAGTTCATTACTCATATTGTACAATATTGGTCATAATTATTGTGGAAAAAAATCTATTTTTTGTCATACCCGCGCGCCATCAGTTTTGCGTGTATTATTATTATTATTTCTTATCATCTTTTAGATAATACTGTGTATTATTAATTGTTATTATACTGTGCAGAACTGCAGACGCTCWTAATAGCATAGTAGCTACGCTTCTATGTTGTAAAATTTGTCGTCGATTTTGTTTACTTCGTTATTTGTTTTTATTTTACATTGTTTGTTAATTTTTCAACTATGTCGAGTGTTCAAAAAAGAAAGCTAAGTAGCGARAAATTTAGAAATTTGGGTAAGCAAAAGAAGGAAAAAATCAAAGATTTCATTTCCAGCTGTAAAACGTTTAGCAATTATTTTAAAGTTAAAGTATGTAACTTTGGAATTAAAATTATTTCTGTAAGCTGTTAATAGTATAGCTAATTAGAAGCCCTTAAATACTAGAACTATTCAGGCATTTCAGTCTATTTGTTTAGTCTAATATCAGGTGCGCCTTATTGGTATATTACCAATTAATCAMTTCATAAAGACATCCGCATTCCAACCTGCTTAAACAGCATTGTCAAAATCACCTACAAAAAAACACATAAAACATTCAGTATTCACTCTCTAATCTTATAATCATCCAACTTTCATCCAATCAAATATCAGGTAATCCACCTAGGCATCTGAAAAGGAACTGGTGTAGGGATCTACTCTCCTAAATTCACTTTCCACGGGGTGCCGCAACTGGGCAACTTCCCCCTYCTGTCAATCAATCACCATCACATTAGGTACCTATAATACGCTCAGGTATATATATTCACTATATTCATGACAAAATAGATAGGTAGGTATGTTAGCATTGTCAGTTATTATAATAAGGGTTTTCGTTCTATTAATTCTGTTAACGTTAATGCATCTCTCCGTTCCCAGCTATAGTCGTGGCTCGTGGTACGCCTTATTTCATTGGCAGTGAAATTATCCGGCTAGGTGAATACATAGACATAATATGTCTATGGCCCTATGGGTGAATACAATGCGTATCAAAAAGTGACTGACATATCTATTTATTTTGCCATGGGTGTAAACTATATTGTGCTAACGAATAATGACCTGATGATGATGAATATAATTTAATGCATTGACCTATTAACTGATATTTTAACTATTTATTAATAGATCAATGATTTAATATAATTTATAATAATTTAAATATTATATTATTATCTATGATGGCCATTGGTTACGCGATAACAGTGATAAGGCGTTATCTGGTTACGACCGTATGTCCGTATCATAAACTTCTAGTCTACCGATATCAGATATTAATATTCACATATTATCTACATTGAATATAATTTATTAGCACATTTCAGACTTCAGTATTTCACGTTTTTAAAAGACTGAACAGTTTTTTTATTCACATTTCCATTGGCGTAAGCAATAGTTTATTCTAGATTTACAAACATTCTCTATTAGTGCTTGCAGTTACTCAGGTAATATGTTTAAACCGTCCATCGTGTATCGTGTTCTGTTTTAAAATTCATTTGATTTGTATCTATTTTATAGTATTGTTTCATTGCTCAACTGTGTACTCTGAGAGTTTTGTTGAAATGAGAAGTTTCATGACAAATGTAGTAGTTTTTTTTCACCTTAGACCTTTATTATATTATATTATAGCTATTACCTATTTCTTTTTAAAAAAAATTGGTATTGAACTTTACCATTATTATAATTGAAATAATTTTTGTTAAATCGAATGGTTTGATCACAACCGTACATACTTAAACAACATATTGTTAAATAACATTATATTTATTTACCTGTAAGTTTTATAAAGTGTGAGGATGTATGTTTTTTAAATTGATTATTATGTAATATAATAGCTCAATCATGGTAGAYAGGTAGAACAATAATCAACCTAAATCCAAATGTACACTATGTATGTATAAACATTTACTAATATTGCATACAAGGCTCATATATAATAATAAGTTGTTAATTATGTACGATATAAATATATTTCTATAATTTAAATTTATCCTTTCTTGTTAATACTCTCAAGACATTAATCAACGTCATGTTAGATTTGTAAAAAAAAAAGTATTTTGTAATTTTWTTTTTTTTTACAGCACAATGTTAAGATCTTTAATATTAGTTAGAGGATTACATATATCCAGTGTAAACTTGTCATCCAGCAAAGCACAACTTTTAAAATTAAGAAAAAAAACTGGATATCCATTTGAAAGCTGTAAAAAGGCTTTACAATTAAATGAAAACAATTTAGAAAAGGTGAAAACAATTATTTCATTTAATTTAGGAATTTAGGATAATTTGAATAATAATATATTTTTGAACAGTCAGAGGCTTGGTTAAAAGAAGAAGCTCAAAGGCTAGGATGGGCTAAAGCTAACAAACTTGCCAATCGTGCTACAGCCCAAGGAGTTATCGCATTTGCAATTGATAATCAAAAAGAAGTTGCTACTATGGTGGAAGTGAATTGTGAAACTGATTTTGTTGCTCGTAACAAATGTTTTCATTCTGTTGTTGAAGTAGTCACTTCATCTTGTTTAGATTTTGCTAAACAACAAAAAGCCTTAGAGAACTCGTTTTCTAAGGTACATACACAATTTTCAGCTAAAAAACATTGGTATAATGTATTCTTATTTTAGGTTAACTTAAAAAGTGGCGATTTAATGGAGTTAAGTGGTGCTGAAGGTAAATCATTAGCTGATCATGTTGCAGTTACAATAGGTAATCTTGGAGAAAACGTTACTCTTAGACGTGCCACTTGTTTAAACACTAGAGATACTGGTTTGAATATTATGGGTCTTACTCATCCATCTAATACAACTGGATCTCAATTTTTTTCTGGTAAATACGGATCACTTCTAATTTACCGTAAACAACAAGATAGTGAAAAAATTAATCAAAAGTCTATGGAGAGTTCTCATGATGAAATTCTTCGTCAAATGTGTCAACATGTTATTGGTAAGTATCTTTTTTTATTTACTCATACTTAATTCAAACTAATTAAATTAGTGTAAAAATGTATAAGAAAAAAATTTAAGTGGTTTTTTTKTATTTAGGTATGAATCCTAAATGTGTCGGAGTACTTAATATACACGAACCTATAAAATCTGAAAAAGTTGAGCCTGCTAAAACATTCAATGAAAATGATGATTCATCTTTGGATAGTATAGATGAAAAAAATTCAGACTCTACAATTGAAGAAGATGGCATGCTTGAACAAGCTTTTTTATTGGACCCATCTATAACTGTTGGACAAGTAGCAACYGATTATGGAATTGATGTACTAGATTTTGTGCGCTACGAATGTGGTGAAACATAATTAWTACATTTCTGTACATATTAAGTAATTTAAATTCAATTTTTGATGATGATGTTCAACTGCTTTTTATTATAGTTCGACAATACTAGAAATTACAAAAAAAATTTTATTTTCAGTATAAGAAAATAATTCTTTATTATTATTATTATGATGGTTCTACCTTAAACATTTATTAATGAATATCATATTGTTCAAAATACTGATTTTTACTTATAATATCTCCATGTTAGGTYTAATGTATAAGATACTGTACTGGTCTGGTTATTTACTAAACAATATTTCATTGTTATTTGATTACTTTTCATTAGATAACTTAAAATAATTGATAGATCTTTTGAACACACATGATGTTACAAATACCTTGATTATCTATATAATTTTAGTTTAGTTTAACACTGTTACATGAATGCTACTGTAGGACATAATGTTATAAAAATAGTTGGTATGGCAAATTTAATTGATGTTTTATAAGCATAAAATATCAAGTGGGTTTTAATGACATCATTACACATATTTTTTTTTTWAAAACAACTTATAATATTACTGAATCAGCAAATACCTTTTATATGATGGTTTTAATATTTGGTTGTAAATTTAGCTGTCATTAGTTACAATGTTTTGATAGTATATTAGATGTACATTGTACATGACCGTGAGCATTATGCTAAGTATAGTTATTTATAGCAATTTCGCAAAATATGCTTTGTCGGTTATCATAATTTAAAGATTATAAAGGTCAATTTAAGGTTAGTACAATAAAGATATTTTCTTTGTCGTTTTATTTTGATAAAAACTTTTCACACTTTTTTAAAATTCATAATCAGGATCATCATCTAAATTATCTGTATCACGGAGAGAATCTAACCTCCAATTTTACAACATGTACAATATTTAGTATTTGTTTTTTATCCATTTTTATATTGTAGTAAACAACAAAAATAGTCACTATGATAAGATAAAAATTACAACAAAAGTTGCAGTGACAGTCCCTTGTGGGTAGAGTTTAAAAAGCTGAAAAATTTATGTAATTGTATAATTTTGTTTTATTTATTTAAGTAAATATGTCGATAATTGTAATTTTTTATTTAAAAATAGCTCCAAGAGTTAATATATTACTRGACATGTGTAAATTAACTATGTATTATGGAGTTAGAATGCTATATAAGTACTAGTCCAGTTTTTAATATGTGACTGTAATAAATTTATCTCATTTTAATAGTACTATTATCATAATATTTCTTTATATCTCATGACATTTTATCTTAAAAACATTTTTTTTTTTTTTTTTTATTAATTAGCTATTCCACTTTGGTACATTCTTTTGGATTTTAAATTTTTATTAATAAGTACAGAGTACAGTACTTGGTAAACTTGTGATCTTATTATCATTCCTGATTTTGAAATTAAAAAAGTTAAAACAAATCTCCATTTTTGTCACGTATAATTAATTAATATAATTATTTGTATTAGTATGATTAAATTAAATGAATTTAAATGTTGAAAATTTAGTTAAATATATAAATATATATAATAAAATTCTTAGGTATAATAACTTAATGTTTAATTGTTCCCATTAAATCTTAATAAATTAATTGTCCAATCCCTGATGAGCTCTTTGATTAAACACAGTTTATATTATCTTCACACTGTTGGTAATCTCGACATCAATAGTCAATAGGTACCCATTTATGATTTATGTTTAAAATCTGAAATAAATTTTTATTAAATTACTTGTGAAAATAATAATAGTAGTATGCTAGAGAACTCAATTGTATGTATATGTAATGAATCAATAATACGAAATCTATTGTGTCTTCCCATCTTCTGGATTTAGATTTATCATTTCTTCATTATAYATATTGTGGCTCTTATTAAAGCCATGATAATATCTACATTTTATATCAGATTATGCATTGCATTSTAGGGATATTTTTAGTATTCCAAAACATCTTTCTATAGTTACTATTCCCTAATATATTTTAAGTACACTTATAGATTATAAATACTAAAAATTAAAAAAAGTATTATCATTTTTATTTATTTCTAAACATGAGGTAATTTGTAAACTTCCTTGATACAAATTCCACACATACTCTTGAATTTATAAAAATTATAACCAGTCTATACGCTAGTTATAGACAAATTTACATTGACTATAACTTGTACCTACATAAAAAATGAGGAAACTTATTTTCTATTTTGAAATACATAATATACATTGCCTTATTTAATATTTACAAGCAAATTAAAATATGCAATATTCTTATCTAACAAAGTTAAAAATTTTTATTATTWCTTTGGTTGCCGAATGATTATATTTTTGTACAGCAACAGRTTATACWTTTATGATCTATAATATTAGGAATTCTATAAAATTTGTTTACATTATAGAAAATTTTGGCCACTTCAGAGATTTGAGCTTCAGATTATAGTAGTTGAATGAAATGTTTATATATAAATGTAGGTAATTATTATGTTTATGAACTTCAGCATAAAGTAGCTATATTTAAGTACAACTATTTAAAACTTTAACATATTAAATATATGTATTATAGGAATTTTATATTATTCATACTTGCCGGCTATAAAACTGGCTATTATCCTTCATACAGTGGAAAAATATCAGCTGATTGCCAGATGTAATAGTTAACACTAATAAAATGTTGCACTAAACTTCAACATTTTAATAATTAGTTTATTAGGAAACTTAATTAGAAAATTAAATCTTAGTTACTTTCCTGATTTGTATTAGATCAGTGATTATTTTTTCAAATTAGTGATGTACCTATTGAGGAAGAACAGGGACAATTCAATTAGAATTAATTTTTAAGTAATATACAGTAGAACTTTTATTAACCRTCACTCTCTGTTATCCATCATCGGTCACCACTGAAAAAAATAAATAATTAGGCAATTAGATGTTATCAAAGTGTATTGATTGGTTTGAAGTACAGGAAGAATCAAATGCTACGCAAGTCTTACTTCTACTTCAAATACGTAATATTGCTGCTAAAAAAGCTAGAGAATCAAAAAACCAAACTAAAATTACAGATTTTTTTTTATAATATGTGTGGTATGYATGTTTATAATTTGTTATATGTAAGTATTTTTATTTTTTAAAGTACACACGTAAAAAATATAATAAATGTGTRTATATGTATGTACACGTTTTTTTTTACAAAATTTTCGTTAACCGTCATAGCCCCGGTCCCGACAGTGGCAGTTAATCGAAGTTCTACTGTATGTTAAATATTTGCTTGATAAATTATTTTTTTTACATAGGTGAAACTAGATTAGCACAAGGCTTAACCTAATAAATTATAAGTTTATGAATAAAAATGTTTTTAATCTTTGTAGTGTTGAACAAGATCTTTTTGCTGAAATCTATGCAGATGCTAACAAAACCAACACAGGTTTTGAAACCACATCTATATATAATGGCTTTACAGACTTATATAATAATTGCATTTATACAATGGAATACATAGTCTTCCTCAAATAAGTCTTTGTAGTCATAAACCATTCAATTACTTGATCCTATTAATATCATATTATGTACGGCCTCAGCGGCTCAAAGCTCACAAAAATCTTAAGTATTGCTAATAACAGAGCCGTGTTTAACGGAGGGCGTCAAATTTTTGAGGATCAACATAAAATAAAAAATTAAGGACAGCAGTWCCATTCAATAACGTAGCACTACCTAATAGTCTTAGAATATTGTTAAGAAATACTAGATAAAATAAAATTGTTGTTTTTAAGCAKTCTTTAGYATTTAAGAGTTTTCACTGCCATCAGAAGCCATTCCCTTTTCTCAATCCTAAGCTAATTCTGCCATAAACTTACTTTCATTTTGTCAAAACCATCTTTAAAGCTTTTAGCATATTTTAATATTGTACTCTGTTAGGAAAATTACTTAAGTAGTATTACTAAAATTAAATTTGTATTTTAAAATGTTTATTAAATTTTATACAACTCAATGAGCTAATCAAAGATAATTCAATTTTTACTTTATAAATGCATTCAGAATTTCTATTTTAGTATTTTAATGTTAAACATAGTAGTGCGACATAACCTATACTTAATTTATTGTCTAAATAAAATTAATTTATCATACAAAAATGTAATTTACAGTTAAAACTCATAAATTAAAAGCTTTGGACCCAAACTGGGCCACAAAAACAAACTATGATACAAATTATTTTAATAGAGTTAATTTATCTATCTTTAATTATAATGAAATATAAATATATGTATGAAAAAATACAGATTCAAAATGGATTTAAATAAATTACTGTTCTATCCAAAGTATAGTAGGACAATAAATTAAGAAATCTTTTGTTATAAATATTGTTTGTAAAAGTAGTTAATATATCATTAACGTCCTGCATTATATCTTGGGAARAAATACAAAAGAGTTTCAGCCAATGTAGTATTAATATTCATAGGGTAAGTTTTTCCCAATTCAGCTCTACATGATGGGCATTGGTATACGTCAGAACCAAATGATCTTTTTAAACATCCCTAAAACACAATATAAATATTAGTTTGTATCAAACAAAAATAAATCTAGGTCACAAGCTTACTTTACAAATGTTGTGAGCACATTCTAATGTGATTGGTTCAAAAACAATATCTTGACAACATATGCACATAAAAGTTACTTCAACTCTATCTAAAAACGCCTATAAAGGAAATTATTTACAATATAAATTTGTTGGTAAAATTATAAACATATTTCATTTTCAATACTTTTTTTCCATCTTTTAATAACTCTTTACAATCATCCCAATATATTTTATTGGCAGCATCAGCTGTGATAAATATTTCTGCTTCATTTTCCAGTTTATAATGCAGTTTTGCTTTCTTTTCAACATTTCTTTTTGGAAAATTTTCATTTGAATCATTGTTTTCAATGTCAGAGTCTTGTAGTGTTCTTTTTCTTTTAGACCCGCTTAAATCTGATTTTGTATTATCAAGCCCAGTAGAAGGTAAATAATTTTCAGGATACTAATTAACCACATGAAATAATTGAATAAATAACTAAAGATATCAACTGTTATTAATTTTTATCTACYCACAATTATTTCAAGGCCTAGTTGTGCTATATGTGTTTTGCCCAATGCTGTCCAAGGAGCTGGTGTAGGATCATCTCGTTTCAATACAAAACGCCATATAACAAACCCAGATATTCCATTTTCTGGATAATACTTCATAACTTTGTAAAGACCATCATAGCTTCAAAATAATTTTTTTCTGTTAGTCATTATTAATTAAGTAAATTTAAAAGAAAGCAAATTTCAATTTTGAGCTCACTATTTAATATTGAAAATTAACAGTCGATCTTTAAGAACCTATCCTTCAGATTAATTATATTCATTTAATTTGATCAGAATTTTTTATTTTTAATATACAAATTAATCATACCGATTGCCCACTTCTGGTGCATATTTAGAATGCTTATGAAGTTTATAATTCCGTACAACTCTAACTGGTTTGCCTTTTTTCCAATCTACAGCTGTTGCTCCTCTTTTATTATTGATATCAGCATTACAGTTGAGAGCTAAAGCCCTAAAATAAATATGTCAACAATTATAAAAATACTAWAGATTGATAGATTTTTAATCATTATAATGTAAAATAACCTGTTGTAGCGTGTTAATTCTTGGTCACAACTTTGCAGAGCAGTGCGTTTGTTTCCAGATAGATCTCTCCCACCAGAACCAGTATACATRAACTCATCTCCATTATCAATATCATCTTCATAACCACCACTTAATACAATACTAAATGCACCTTGATTGTCACGACCATGTATTCCTCCAACAGGTGGACGGTGAATACCACTTTCTGATACCTAATGAACAACAAAACAACAATTTAAAAATCTATTTATATGATTRAAAAAATATTTTTCCACAACTCACTTGAACGCGGAACAACCATGAAGTGCCAACATCAATACCTGGAATTGGACCAAAATGGTTTGGCGGAACAATATTACATTTCTTTGTTCTACCAACACATGCCATTCCTTTTCCCCAATCGTGTTTTGATGTAGATGCTAATGGCTTTTTTTTTGAGACTTTTAATTTTCCACCAGCTTTCACAATTTCGTTTTCATCATTTTTGCATGTTGGACAATACCTAGAACAAGTGATTTGCACATAAATATATTTTAAGTATTAAAAACAATCAATCTAATTAAAATTATTATTTATTAGTYACCAATCATCAGCTTCTGGAATCTCTGTTAATGGTGGTGTAAGGCAGGCCATATGAAAACTTTCATCACATTCATCACACAATAACTGTTTATTCTCATCCTCCTTGCCACCACAAATACTACACCCACAATGTACACATGATTTATTAATGTTATCTTTGCATTTAATACAACTTAAGGCTTTAGCTCCTTTTCCAGAAAAAAAAAAAAAAAACATTAATCTAATAATCTATTTACTAATAACAAAATCACAAATTGTTGTTCTTACTTTCTATAGAAGGTATTGTTTGCATGATTGTATCTTCTTCTTTAGTCCTCTCTGTAACTAACTTGTATGGTTTTATTTTTAAGATATCATCAAGGAACATCAAACGACAATTAATCAATACTGCTTTATTCGATCCAATAGTAACATCGCCTAAGACTTCAGGATTTCGTCTATTAACTGTTTTTTTTTTTACTAGTACATCGTACCAATAACCACGTTCTTTAGGATAATCAGTATTAAAATTCATAAGAACTTTATCATTGATTTTCAATTGATCAAATGGCAAATTATCAGTAGAATATGGTCTTATATCTTTCAGTTTAGCTTTAGTAGGTGGGTTGTCAGAGGCTCTAGAAAATATAAATAATTAGMCTTAAACTTACAATACGTTAAGATTTAAAAAAAATTAGATCTACCCTGCATCCTCTACATGATAAATCAGTCCATCATGTTCCTCTAGGCTATCAGAGGAAGTTGGTTCAATTTCTAGAGAATCATCTTTTTTTATCTTTACTATTTTGCCCATATACCACACACCATATTCATCATCTCGTACATCAACATAATCGCCTAACTTAAAATACTTACTTTCCTCCGATATGTTCTCTAAATTGTTCTAGAATAAAAAAAAGTAGGTATAAGTATATTATTAACTTGTGAAGATTTTAGTATGATAAAATATTTACTTCTTCTATTGTAGAATTAATGTCTGATGAACAAATCAGAATAGATGTTTTATCTTTTAAATCCTTAGGAACCTTTAATATTGAGTTTTTTATAATCTTAGCTTCAGTAACAGATKCCACGACTGTTAATTGTATAACGTCRTTTATATTAATACTATAATCAAAGAGGTTGTACTGGTTTTCAAGCTGAAAAATACATATAAAAATAAAATTAGATACCTACTACCTACCATCAATTTAATTATAAACTGATAAGCCATAGCATATATGTTTTTGGTGACTAAAATTAAGCTGTCTGTTGCTAGGTTTGCTTTATMTAGTTGCATAAGCACAACATAAACGAATACAGCATACCTATCAGTTGACAGCATAATTGTAGTCATCGAAAACTCCTATGCTATGACTTATTTGTATATGGTACAACAACTATTGCAACAACTTTTTATTAAAATAAATACAAGGAGTGATATTTAAATTTAATATTTTACTTAAAGGTCCTTGTAAATAATCAGTGTTAGGTAAGTTATTTTTTTTARAGTAACTAAATTATGTTACACGTATATGAAATAGGTAACTAGATTACTTGTTACTCAAGCACAAAAGTAATGCGTAACCAGTGCTGTATCTAAGCGTTGGAAAGGTGGGCGGTGGCCAAGGGCGCAGTTTAAAATGATCGCGCTAGGGGCGCAATTTTTATATCATATATAAATACTAAAAATTAATTTTAAATTTATAACATTGGTTGCCAAGGTCGCACATAGAGCTAGTTACGGCATTGTGTGTAACATTAAAYTTTTTACTCAAAAATAATAAGTTACAATGATGTTACTCTTATGTTATTTAAGTTTCATAAAAAAACAAGTCAATTTTTTTTTATATTTATTTTATACAATAATGTATTTTCAACATTTT